ATTACCTAACAATCCCCTCCCGGAAGAATCGTTGCAATTACTGATTATAAGCGGGGGGTTAAGAACTGTGTGGAAATGAATTACTAATCAAAGACATGGCTTGTGAAATATATGGAAAGGAATGAAAGGCCTTTGGAATGACGCAGTTAAAAAGGAGACTCGTTAGGAGGCAGGCCTGGCGGCAAGATTTACGATCGAGGGGGAGGAGACCATGGTTTTGTTATTATATCGGACTGTGAGTTTGACCTGGCAGAACCCCCTAAGAGAGGAGAGAGTGCAGGCCTGCGAGGATTAAAGGGCAGACTTTAAGAATGTTTTGTACGGAAGTGCTGAAATGGCGTCTGTCTGTTTGAATATGGCTCTTGGAGGAACGGAAAATTCACACAGGATACTGTATAACATTTGTTTTCATCCCGCTTGGAGACTATCAGAGGTCACAAAGAAAGGAATATATGATAACAACAAGAAGATGAGAAAACAATAGAGAGAAGATTGGACAGAACGGTGAATACTATTTGGACAGAACTGTGAATATTAAAGCAGCAGCAAGAGAGATGTTTGGATCCCTTTTCTGAGCTCTAAGCATGTGTACCCCCAACAAAAATTTTAAAATTTGGCTTTGTAATTTGGAATTAATGTGATTTTGATTGGTTTGTTAATAAAATTATATTTTAAAAAAAAGAAGATATAGAAATCATCATGGTTATACGGTATATAGATATATATGGATAGCTGATTTTATAGAAACCGTAAGGGTAAAATTCATCCAGGTGATCCTGCTTCACTCTTAACCTTATAATCTTCTCAGGTTTAACCTCCATTTTAAGTCAAGTTCAATCTCACCGTGTGCTATGTGCAAGGTCAACTAGAGTTCAGGTCAAGATCATTATTTTAGAAAATCTTGGCATAAACGGAAGCTGGGGGCAGTCTTTTAATCCTAATTGTTCATTAGGTAACTTCTCTTCCAAAGTAAATTTCATCCATACATATATTTTGTGCCTATAGCACCAGTAATGGGAGCGGACTTCCTTTTATCACTCCCATTTTCTTGTCAAAATTAGGCAATATTAATTCCTTAATATTTCCTCACCTTCCAATTGGCACAGTATGCTGGAAAGGTAGCCACTCGTGACTGGATCAGAGGCTTTGCTTCTGTGGAGCTGTGCTGGTGCCTAGCTCACCAGCGCCTTTGGCTCCTCACCCCCACTCTGTTTCTTTCACTGCAGCGCCATCAGTGAGCCGCAGGATCCCAGGACACCCCAATGCTCCTCTTGGGGTTTTGCGGGGAGGCGTATCACCTTTTCCCCTTTACTCCACAAAGCCGAATCTGACCATAGCTGTCAGATTCGTGGTCCGCCTACCATGTTGTGGAGACCCGGAAGTGGGAAGTTTTTTAATGTTTAAAGGTAAAGGGACCCCTGACCATTAGGTCCAGTCGTGGCCAACTCTGGTGTTGCGGCACTCATCTCACTTTATTGGCCAAGGGAGCCGGCGTATAGCTTCCAGGTCATGTGGCCAGCATGACTAAGCCACTACTGGCGAACCAGAGCAGTGCATGGAAACACTGTTTACCTTCCTGCCAGAGTGGTACCTATTTATCTACTTGCACTTTGACGTGCTTTCGAACTGCTAGGTTGGCAGAAGCAGGAACCGAGCAATGGGAGCTCATCCCGTTGCGGGGATTTGAACTGCCGAGCTTCTGATAGGCCAAGTCCTAGGCTCTGTGGTTTAACCCACAGTGCCACCCACATCCCATTTAATGTTTAATGTTTATTATTATTATTATTATTAGTTGGAAACCACCCAGAGCAGGGTATTATTATTATTATTATTGAATGAATGAATGAACAGGGCATCCCTATTTGGAGAAATGATGGAGGGTATGCATTATGATAACACCTATTGGCACATGTATATAATTTATATAAAATAATCATTTATATAAAATACATTTATATAAAATAAATTTATCCCTTTCATCTTGTTCTTGTGTTTGGCTTTGGGTTCTGAGGGGCTGATCTTTTTTGATGTGTGAGAGAGAGAGATTCAGCATGGGATTGGCATGCAGGGGGTGAGTCCTTCCCGGTGCCTCAATGGTCCTGGAAAAAAGACTCTCCAGGAAGCAGAGTCCCTGCTCCCTCCCTTCTGTTTTAGCTGGATAACGTAGGCGTTGTCCCTTCCTCTTGTGCCACACCCTCCCAGGGAAAGGTAAATTGCAGCTGACATACAACTGGAGTATTCTTTCAAAGGCAGGTTGCAACCTTGAGTGAACAGCACCTCAGGCAGGTAAGTGCTCACCTGAGAGAAGAGAATGGGAGAGGGGTAGAAAGGCCCCCAAGGAGGGAGAGAACAAATACCTGGAGCACTGAATGAGATTTCCTTGAAATTGATGATGGCAAAGGTGTTTCATAGAGCAGGCATGTATTTATTTAACCATTTGCTTGGTCACCAAAGGTGACAAGGAGATGCATGCAGGTGAGTGAGCTGGGGGCTGCTGGGGGCTGAGCACTCTGTCTCTCATATGTCAGCCCCTTGTGTTTTTATACTGTCTCTGGAGGAGACCCAGTCTAAGGTTGCCATATTTCAAGCAGTGAATATCGGGACACAAAAATTGCTGAAGTGGCTTGGGGGGGGCAGTTGTTGAATTTTTGGGGGAGGGAAACGTTGTTGAGTTTTTGTTGAGGGGAAGTTGTTTGTTGAGCTTTTTGGCAAAATTGCAAAAAAGAAAAAAGACGTGGAACCACCCGAAAGCACAGGTGTGCCTGGACCATTTCTCCATATTCAGCAGAAAGCTGTTGCTTCTTCTGGTGCAGAAGCAGAAAAGGCAAACCAGCTCAATCTGTACTGGAGCCAAGAAGTCTAGAGAAGGGCAAGGGCAGCAAAGGGTCTCAGCAAAATGCTCGCAAGTAATTAAGACCTAAAAGTAGTTTATCAAAAACTATATTTAACAAGAGGGTTAACCTATTCTTGAAGCAAGAGGAGAGCCTCCAGTTTATTGAGCTGCAAAGAAACCAACCTTTTAAACAAATAACATAAAGAACAGAACTAGAGAAGGGAAACATATGAATCACTGTGAATCTGAAAGCAATACAGTGGTACCTCGGGTTAAGTACTTAATTCGTTCCGGAGGTCCGTTCTTAACCTGAAACTGATCTTAACCTGAAGCACCACTTTAGCTAATGGGGCCTCCTGCTGCCACTGCACCGCCACTGCGCGATTTCTGTTCTCATCCTGAAGCAAAGTTCTTAACTCAAGGTACTATTTCTGGGTTAGCGGAGTCTGTAACCTGAAGCGTATGTAATGCAAGGTACCAGAGAAGGGAACATATTAATCACTATGAATATGAAAGCAATACAGGCACACCTATTGGTCCATGGCAGCCCACGAAATAAAACCCAAAGAGTGACAGCAGCAAAGCTCCTTTATTAAGATGGATTGAAAGTAATGAGCAAGCTTCTAAGTTCAGCAGAATTCTTCTCTTCAGGAGGGATATTAACCAAAAAGAAAAAGAAAAGGGGGGTGTTGATTGAGCTATTACTATTTGGACTCCTGTCCTGAGATGGAGAGGAGAGCAAGATCCACACTCACCAGTCCTACTGAAGAGGCTAATAATAATACTAATAATACTAATAATACTAATAATAATAATAATAATAATAATAATAATAATAATAATAATAATATATTTATACCCCGCCCATCTGGTTGGGTTTCCCCAGCCACTCTGAGCAGCTTCCAACAGAAGGTTAAAAAATTATTAAAATATCCGTCATTAAAAACTTCCCTAAACTGGGGCTGCCTTCATGAGGCCGGAGGAAAATCGTCTGGCTGTGAGTGTGAAGGCCGCTCCCTGCAAGGCCCTGTCCACCTGGCCTACTAAAGAGGCTAATAATAATAATTTATTATTTCTACACCGCCCATCCGGCTGGGTTTCCCCAGCCACTCTAAGCGGCTTCCAACAGAAGGTTAAAAATATATTAAAACATCCATCATTAAAAGGTTCCCTAAAGAGGGCTGCCTTTATGAGGCCAGAGAAAATCGCCTGACTGTGAGGCATGAAGGCCGCTCCCTGCAAGGCCCTTTCCACCTGGCCTAGGGGGCGAGGCCCACACTCACCAGCCCCACTGAAGAGGCTCCTCATGAGGCCGGAGGAACATCGCCCGGATATTGTTTTATTGTTTACCCAGTATTATATATTCTTTCCACCGAACCCTTAACAGCATCAATAAAACACAATGTAATGTTTTGGAGTGTTGATATACAAGGTTAAAGTCCACACGATCACGTTGTTCCCACATGAAATTGTGCTTTTCTTGTCCAACCCAGAGGAAATGATGCCTGCAGTTTGGGGAGAATTAGACTAATGAAGGAAAATCTGATTGGCAACTTAGCCAGCTTCAACGTTTCCCTTTGATAACTAAAGTATTTGGGAACATGTATCTATAAAGAAAATAAATTTTGTTCTCTTGCTCTGGCAGAGCAAACAGAAAATGAAAAGTAGGGGGAATCTAAATCTCTCCTGCCTTGGATGCATCACCACAGCGAAGATGTCAATTCTTGCAAGGTTTCTTCCTTTTTATTCCACGTTTTACCAATTCTGATTGCTCCTGAGTGACAGGGTCCAATTCAGAAGGACCCTCAAGCTGTAGACCTGCTCCTTCCAGCATTATGAAGGCATAGAGAATAGAGAAGGCAGATTCAGAAAGCCTTTTCTCCCTCTCTAATAACACTTGAACTTGTGGACGTTCAGTGAAGCTGAAGGTTGGAAGATTTAGGACAGATAAAAGAAAGTACTTCTTCACTTCAAACTATGGAACTCTCACCCCATTCTGAGGCAGGACTCGTCATTGCTTCCTTTTTCATTAAGGGTATTCTGTGGCCAAATATACCCTATGTAGCCTGCCAATTAGGGCAAGTACAGGAGGTTGTTGACATTTCTTCCAGCAATCTTAATTCCAGTTTGGGATTCATCCAGTCCATGATGAATTCTGCATATAAGTTAAATAAGCAGGGAGACAATACACAGTACAGGCTTGTTGTACTCCTTTCCCAGTTTTGAACCAAGCAGTCGTTCCATATTCAGTTCTACCTGTAGCGTCTTGTCCCACATAGAGATTTCTCAGGAGACAGATAATTTAGCAGTAATTCAATAATTCCACCCAACGTGTATAAAGTTTGCCATTTTAGCATCACATGTACAACGTGTAAGCTATTCCTGTTTCAGATGAATAATGTAGCGCTCTAAAGATGTTGAGATTTAGGCTACCTGTATTGCTTAATTTGCCTCCTGCACCTGCTGAATTTTTGTTTATGCTGCTGCTCTTTCAGTGCATTCCAAATTTTATGGCCTAATTGGGAAATACAGGGAGGAATTCCATGTAGCACAATGGCAATTGTTCCATCAGTGCAAGCTTTTCACCAGACACCCTGGCACACACCAAGAGTTTGTGATACTTTTTGGAAGTGAGGCACAGTGGAGACTGTGTGGTCTTTATATGGTTAATTGACACATACATATATACAACCTGAGCCTATGACGGAGTTATTGTTTCTCCCGTAGCCACAGCTGTGGATCCCAGCAGAAATCAAACATCATGCTCTGCCTCTGTGGCTTTCCAGCCTGCAGCTTTTCCTCTAGTTCACACCACAGTCCCCCAAACTTTGACTTTGTCTTTCTAGCTGGGAGAGGGGCCCCACCCATTTGCTGTCTCAGATAGAGCCCCTTCCCTTTCTTTTCCTTTAATGGCTCATCACCCAGGTGATTACCTCATCAGGAAGCTGGTCTGGCTTATAGTTTAACACTCAGGTATTATGAGCAGGTCTTGAGTGTGTCGACAGCTGGCAGACTGATTCTCTGTCCACCCAGCCTGATCCCCAAAGCTCCCCTTGTGTGCGTGCAAGCACACACACACACACACACACACGAGAGAGAGAGAGAGAGAGAACAGAATTCACCTCCCTTTCACTGCGCTTCTCTTTTGCAGGTTGCCTTTGGAAACAGGATAGAGGTGGCCAGGATCTCTCCCCCACCCATGTACAGTCGGCAAGTGAAAGTGCCAGGAAGATGCTCATGACCAAGCTGCAGAATTTGCCCACTGTGGTCCTCTTCATTTCCTGCTCTGCTTTCCTTTTTCTACTTGTTGCGAAGAATGAATGGGAGTCTCTCGAGATGCTTTCCCCACCACCACCAGTGGCTAAGCGGCATCCCTTGGAGGTTGTCTATTCCACTGATTATAAGTTCCTCTTCAACGAGCCAAAGAAATGCCGGGAGGGGAGCCCTTTCTTGATCTTGCTGGTGATAACTAAGCCCCAGGATTTTGCTACGAGGCAGGCCATCCGGCAGACGTGGGGCAACGAGAGCTCAGTACCTGGGGTTTCCATTCTTCGTCTCTTTCTGACGGGTGTCCACCCAAAATTTGGATACCCGCTCCAGGCCCTTTTGGAAGAGGAGAGTTCCATCCACAGAGACATTATTCAGCAGGACTTCCTGGATACCTACAACAACCTTACCCTGAAGACTCTGATGGGCATGGAGTGGATAAGCAAGTTCTGCCCCAATGCCACCTACGTGGTGAAGGCCGACAGTGACATCTTTCTCAATGTGAACTACATGGTGTCCCAGCTGCTACAGCCTCACCTGCCACCCAAGAAGAACTACATGACAGGGTACATCTGTAGGAATTTCAAGCCAGTACGTAACAAGGCCTCTAAGTGGTATGTGCCATGGGAGGTGTACCCCAATGAGACCTACCCGCCCTACTGCGCAGGCCCAGGGTATGTGTTCTCTGGGGATCTGACCAAGAAGATCTACCAGGTAGCAAAGACCATCAAGGTCATTAACATGGAAGATGTCTTCATGGGAATCTGCCTGCATGAGCTGGGCATCAGCGTGACAAACAGCCCCTTGGGTCTCTTCAAGACGTTCCATGCCGAGTATGAGAAGTGCAAGCTCTCCAAGGTGGTGGTGGTGCATCCTCTGGTGGTGCCAGAGAAGCTACTACAGATTTGGCCTGGCTTTCGGGACCAGAATCAGACTTGCAAGAGTTAAAAGTGAGGGAGGTGAACAGACACACAGCTTCCCTTTGGAGAAGTTGACATAGAGGACTGGCAATGTGCGGGCATGTTCCTGTACAATGGACAAATCCATGCCAACAAAGGGAAGGGAAGGATGGCTCAGAGAAGAAGGAAGATTCTGTGCTCTCCTCCCGTAGAATCTCTGCAGCTGCCCATAGCAACTTGTTTGGTCTGCTCTGAACTGACCACTGTGCTACTAATGTGCCAAATTGACAACCTCAGAGTTTTGAGATCATCACAGCCACCACCTCACCTACTGGAAGAGAGCAACCCTCAGGCCATGCAGGTGTGGCACTACGTAGGATTGCCATACGTCCAGGAATTCCCAGAAATATCCTCTTTTTGGGGGTCCTAAATGCCCATCCAGGGGGAATTTTACATTTTAAAGCAATTGTTTGGGATTTTGGGTTTTTAAATATATATACATTTTTTGTGTGCAATAGCTAAGCGATGTCCCTCTGGCTTCATGAGGAGCCTCTTCAGTAGGGCTGGTGAGTGTGGGCCTTGCTCCCTAGGTCAGGTGGACAGGGCCTTGCAGGGAGTGGCCATCACACTCACAGCTGGGCAATGTATGAAAAAGCAACAGAAGATGACAAATAAGTCTTGCACAACTGGCAACAACCCAAAGAGGCATGTGCTATGTGGAGTATGGCTTTCTTCTGTGAAGGAAACTTCTACTGATCTGCTTTAAATTACTCTCCAAATGAACACAGACTGTGGAAACTTCACACTGGACTTCAAGCATCTGGCATTGTGTGCCTCCCCATTATTCCTCCAGACTCTGGATCCTGGGTTTTCAAATGAGATACAAAAGCTGCTCTCATCAGAAAAGAGATTTGGGGAGCCATGTCATCAGCTGGTGTTGGTCCACTGTGCTTCATTAAGTCCAGGGTCCACACAGCCGTCTACCAGGAGATTTTGGAGCACTTCATGCTTCCTTCCGTTGATGAGCTTTATGGGGATGCTGACTTCATTTTCTAGCAGGACTTTGGCACCTGCCCACACTGCCAAAAGTACCAAAACCTGGTTCAATGTCCATGGGATTACTGAGCTTGATTGGCCAGCAAACTTGCCTAACCTGAACCCATAGAGAATCTATGGGGCATTGCCAAGAGAAAGATGAGAGACATGAGACCGAGCAATGCAGAAGAGCTGAAGGCTCCTATTGAAGCATCCTGGTCTTCCATAACACCTCAGCAGTGCCACAGGCTGATAGCATCCATGCCACACCGCACTGAGGCAGTAATTGATGCAAAAGGGGCCCAAACCAAGCACTGAGTACATATGCATGCTTCTACTTCTCAGAGGTCCAATACTGGTCTATTTGCAATCCTTGTTTTGCTGATTTCATTTAATATTCTAATTTTCTGAGACTGTTGATTTGGGGTTTTCATCAGCTGTATGCCATGATCATCACAATTATAACAAATAAAGGCTTGACACATCTCGCTTTGCATGTCATGAGTCTATGTCATACGTATATTCGTTTCACCTTTTAAGTTGAATTACTGAAATAAATGAACTTTTCCACAATATTCTAATTTTCCAAGTTTCACCTGTAGTATAGGGATGTTTTTAAATATTTGTTTTATTATGTTTTTATATATGCTGGAAGCTGCCCAGAGTGGCTGGGTCAACCCAGTCAGATGGGCAGGGTATAAATAATAAAATGATTATTATGGAATAAGATGTCACATCCCTATTTTCAACGGAGAAATGTTGGAGGGTGTGCTTAGTGAGAAAGCAGATTTGATCCTGGAATTGTGTCTTGATGTGGCTGCAGAGATTGTTTCAGGACTGGGGTGCAAGTTTAGAGCTTCTGACCCACAACCAGAGGGGAGGCCACAGCAAAACAGATGAGGTCCAGGAAGATCAATTTACTTGGACCGAGAAATTTGTGACGATACCAAGACAAGGAACTCTGTGGAGGCCACAAGACAGAAGGCCATGCAAGCAGCTGCCCACTGGGGGAGCAGGGCAGAGGTTTGAGTCTGTTAATCGGAGACTCTTTACTTTTCCTGCTGGCCTTAGCAATGGATTTTGTAGCACAGTGCTTTTTTGCGTGTTTATGATTTTTTACTATTTAATGTGATTTTTTAAAAAATTATTTCTCTGGTAACTGTTGGTGTGTTTGAAAGCTACCTTTGAGATGTAGCTCTGACTGAACTATGCACAAAGGAGGAGGGAGGAGGAAGCCTGGAGAATTCCTGGGGAACTGGAAATTGCTGGGTTGGTCTAAAAGTATTATATTATCTGCTTTGATTTGTTCTAAATGCCTCTACTTACATTTTCTGTTATTTCTTTTTACAGGAAAGTTGTGTACCTTTCCTTTCCATTGGCACCTCTGGGTCAAATGTGTGCCTTGGGAGGAGGTTGATGTTATGGGGTTGCGGGTGTCCTGATCCCCTCTAGATTCCTGAGTGATGGGGTTTGATCAGTACTTTTGAGAATTAAGATGAGCTGACAGACATTTGATTCAGCAGTTTAAAAATGTGGGTCAACCTGGTTTCCCTGGACCTGGGCATCCTGGGGAGATAAGCCCTGAAGCCCAGTTATCAACTCATGCCTGCCAAAACAATTGCCACCATATAGTGGCTTCTGGGCTCCACCTTCTGGCCAAAAGACTTGCTGCTCATATAAATCAATATGCACCTAATCTTTCAACTCCTACACTTGGAACTACTTTTCTCAGCTCTCTTCCTTCAAATCCCTGCTCAGCATTATGATTTCTTTGTGGACTCTCTTATGTGCATTGCAACAGTAGCAAAGCTGTAAGTTAGAGATGGAGAACCTCTGTCTCTGCCCTCCAATATGTTGCTAGGCTCGAGGTTCCATAATCTCCAGCCAGCATGGCCAATGGTCAGGGATGATGGAAGAGTCCAGCACCTGTAGGATCACAAGTTCCCCATATGTGCTTTAAATACCATATTTTTTGCTCTATAAGACTCACTTTTTCCCTCCTAAACAGTGAGGGGAAATGTGTGTGTGTTTTATGGAGCGAATGCAGGCTGCGTAGCTATCCCAGAAGCCAGAACAGCAAGAGGGATTGCTGCTTTCACTGCGCAGAGATCCCTCTTGCTGTTCTGGTTTCTGAGATTCAGAATATTTTTTTCTTCCCTCCTCCAAAAACTAGGTGCGTCTTGTGGTCTGGTGCGTCTTATAGAGCGAAAAATATGGTACATGCAATGCAACCTCACCTTCCCACATTTTATCTCTCACAATAAAGGAATGTAGGACTTTGATTTTAGAACAGTGCCTTGTTTTATTTGGCCGTACTTGGCCACGTTCGTTGGTGCAGAGGGGGCAAAGGCTAAAAAATGTAGGCATCCAAGACAAACTGGAGTGAGTTGATGGAGGGCATTTTCCTAAAGGGGGAAAGAGGGGAGAAGAGCAGTCCAGCTTCTGATGCCATAGCAACACCTAGTGGCAAAATCAGGCATTTTGAGTACCTTGACACTTTTGCCTTTTCTTTTCCTGGAAAAAGGGAAGGGGGTAGTGCTGTCTAGAGGTGGTGAAAATGTTTCCATCTTCCTCTGTTTAGTTGCAGCACTTCAAACAAGTGCAGTGACAGATATAGTGATACCTTGGTTCTCAAACTTAGCCACTTAGTCTTCCAAAACCATAGCAGCTTTCCCATAGAAAGTAATGCAAAATGGATTAATCTGTCCCAGACAATTAAAACCCTGAAAACAGTAATTTAACATGAATTTTAGTATCTAACGAGACCATTGATCCACAAAATGAAAGCAATAGACCAGGTTGCAATCTACTACCCAGTTTAAAAAACTGGAGTTATCTACCCATTACCATTGGAGGGATGAGTGTGCGGGGTGCGTGAAGGGGGAGGAAAGGGAGGCAAAAGTTCTCTGAGAAGCCAGTTGGCTTCTCTCCATCCGCCCAAGGCCAGCTTTTCTGGATCCCCACCCCCCACCAGCACCCATTCCTCACCTTCTTCGGGGCTAGCAGAAGCAGCCCCCGCCACTTGGATGCGTTCACCTCACTGAAGAATTTACTGCAGTGGCAGTCACTTCTGGGGCAGCAGAGGGACCAAGCGTTGCAGGGCAGCAGCAAAATCCAGAAGCCAAGAAGGGGGTCTTTGATGCTCAGCATGCCCTTTCCCAATTCGGTGCCAGCCGTGGCAACAAAATCCAGAAGCAGAGACGGGGGTCTTTGATATAGCGGTGCGCAACTCCCCCCCATGCAGCTGCGAGAGGTGTACACTCTAAGGAGTGTTTCCCGCAGCGGCCGGCGCCGAGTTAGGGAAGGTTGTGCCGAGCAGGCAAACAATGTTGCTGCAGCCCGTGCCGCCGGGTCCCTCTGCCACCGCCGTTGCTACAGCATCAGTGACCCTCTCTTCCAGTACTGGGTGTCACCAGTGGTGGGCGCTGAGTAAGGGGAGTCCAGGTCCGGAGGCGAGTGTCGCACTCAAAACGGAAGTGTACCCCTCCCCCTGGGTACGTTTGGATTCCAGAAAAAGTTTGAAAACCGGAACACTCCTTTCCAGTTTTGAAGCGTTCAGGTTCCAAATAGTTTGTGAACTAAGCTGTTCGAAAACCAAAGTACCACTGTAGTGTTGAAATTACCCAGCTTCCAACTGGGATTTAACCTTGAAGGAAATGTAAATGAAATCTAGTAACTGCACAGGTTCCCTTTCCAATGACAACTCTATTCTTCTATGAACCTGTACCTCAGCATCATCGTAAGAACTCTGATAGGGAGGGTGTGTGTTAGGAAATGGTACAAACACTATTTTTGGCTTGTATTTACAGCTATTTGTTAGTAAGCTTATTTCCAATTTACCAGAATAGCTAGAGTACGCTTCATCAGTATCACATGCAAATTGTATCTTGTTGCTTCAGCCTTGATGTGCCTTTTATTTTTAGTCTTGCTACTAGGCAGTTTTTAACATATTTCAACTTGGCTTTGAGGCCTGCTTCTAAGTATCAACATACACAAGTTTTTCTGTGACCCTTAACTTTGATTCATTAGTTTGTTCCAGCAGTTAGATGCGATTTTAAAACAGCCATATATGCTGCACAGGGTGGAATCTAGTTACTATAGCTTTTAGGGGCGGACAAAACAGATATGAAATAAACAATTAATGACTGAAGACTCAAAATAAGAGTTGGACAAAATCACCAGTGTTTCTTGTTCCTTACCCCATTACTGTTTCATTGTTACCAAAGCTGCCTCTCATTCTTCCACAATCACTTCATCAGAATTTGTCATTCACATAACTCTTTTCTTGTGAAAGACTGAAAAAAGGCCGTTAGAGAAGTTAATACAACTTGAGTGTTACTGGTCATGCAAAGTTTAGGCCTTTATAAGGGATTTTTTGAAAGTTACCATAAATTATTAGGATACAACAACCTAACGGCTTGCTTTGAAAGTTGAGAGGCAGTTGGTAGCAATCAGGTTATGGGATTTAGGCAGAATAAGAATCTAGACAGACACATGAAGAGTTTGTGTTTATTTGTCTACATTCAGCATAATCCAGATGTGCTGTCTGAATGACCCAGACATACAAAACCCACTCTTTCCCACAAGTTTTAAAATAAAATCCTCACTTATAAAACTGAAAAACACTAAAGCATTAAAATACAGAAAGCTTGTTTAAACTCACTTCACAAAAGCATTAGCAGAAGATATCCCTTATCTATTTAAAGCCATACTGTGTTAACACATGAATGTCATTTAAACAGAAAAAGGATACTGAACTCAAATTCTATTTAGACAGAAAATTGAAATGGCAAACAAACCATTAAATACACCATTAAATGTCCAAAATACAGCTAAGTATGGAATTACAAAGTACTCAACCATTAGTGACTGATATCACAAAGAGCACTGCAACATGGAAACAGGGTTTACATGTTTACTGTGATGCAATAAAACTCAATA